TAGTTTACTATTATTGGTTCTTCTATATTGCCCTCTTATGCATATCGGCAAAATAATGGAACTATATAGGTATATTCTATTATTTATATATTCGACCTGTGTCTCTCTATATAACTAACAAATTCTTCTACTTTATCGGCTTTAACTGCCAAGTCAAGTGCTTTTTTTGCATAGTCCATACCATAATCATATGGGGTCTTTGCAGTAGAAAGAGTGGATATTACCAAAAAATGAAAATCGAGTTTTTGCTATATTCGGATAAATTTTGACACGGGCTACATTTTTTAATTATAAATGAAAATGGATTCTCATAATAAAAAATCGAGATATTTTAAAAAAACTTTTAGAGGGGTTTGTATATCACGAGATTATCCGATATAACTGATCAATAAAATCATGAAAATTTTGATTAACCCAAATCAGTCCGAACAAAACAAACTTAATTTTTTTAAAATCATATATATTGACACATCCGCCCTTTCTACTGCAAAGGCCCCATATTTATATTTAGGTTCTTGTGATTGTTCACTATTAGGTGTTTTTCTGAATTTTTTCAATTGTTGAAAAGAAAGAGGTTCAGGTGGGTATGATATTAACTCATTTCTTGCGATTTAATATGTTGGTACTTTTTGTTGATTGAAGTACTTGCATTTATTATACCAGTGTCGAGGAATTAAAGAGATATTAAATTGTGTATTGACTGAATAAGACATAACACGAAAAAAATGTCTACACACGACTCCTTTATTAATAAGCGAAAGACAGGTACATAGATATAACCCATCATTAAAAAGAATTATATGTTGTGATTCTAAGTTTTGACCACGATGCCGGGTTACTTTCCATACTTCTTTAACTAAATCATAGAAAACATCTTCTAGTAATGATAAAAATAAAGACTGTGGTTGATCTTAATCATCTTCTCTGGCTATTTCTTATTGATAGAAATCATCTGTTATCTAAATCAAAGGAAAGTATTTTTACTTTTTTTTTTTTTTAACAGTTCTTTTGGTTGGTATATATTAAAAATTTACCTCCAAGAGCAATTGCTAATCTTTAATTAAAAGAACATCATAGCACAATGATTGAGCCACTTGATCACGATGTTTTTGAAGAATTTGCGGTGTAAGAAATTCCTTTAAAATCTTGTCAAGTTCAGAAAAATATTTGTCTATTATGCTTGGCATACCTCTTGTTGGGATTTCATTCTTGTATTTATTTAAAATTGCTCTTTTAGATTGTTCATTAAATATCCGTTGAACTTCTTCAACAATATCAGTTAGACGTGAGCTCTATTTAACCTTTCCTTGATTAATTTATTATACACTTCTACATGTTGTGTACTTTGGGCTCCAGCAGTAAAGTTATAGTTAACGGCATAGCTAGCCCAACTACTCTTACAGAGATATAAAACTTTTGTAAAATAGTTGTTACAAGCTGGGTATTCATTGATTAGTGCATTCTATTTGATTTCAAATTTCTTAGAACATAGAGAATTTCGCATTATAAAAAACTCGGAACGAAAGGTTTGAAATTTGTCTTTTAATTTTTCTCTAAGTTTCTTTTTTAAGTTTAGATCTATATGAAAGATGCAATGAAGATGTTGTATTTCTGGAAAATTTTTTCAAACTGCTGATAACATAGCTAGATCTGCATCAGAATATAGAACTATTGGGCTAATATTACAAGAATTTTTTAATTCTTGAAGAATCCAGGTAAATGTTGGTTCAGTTTCATCTTCAAGAATTGCGGCAGCAACTACTATATTCCAGAAATTATTGTAAATTGCTATAACTAGCATTAGGATCATATCAAATTGGTTTGTTTTGGATGTTGTATCGATAAATACAATATCATGATACATCGCATATGCATTAACTTGGTCTAGAGACATCCAGAATAATGAGTTCAGCCTTCTTTCATCTACATTAAAACGAGGTTTTATTATCCACCGTGGATCATTATCTTTTTTTAAATATAGTTTGGTAAGCATTTAACATACATCATTTTTGATTGATTTGATTTGCTTTTTAAAGCATTATATTGCGTTACTTAAATCCTTTTTATTGATCACTTTATGCGGAAATGAGACGGCCAATAAATTATATTGGGTAGTTATACCCATTTTTCCATGAATTGTCCAGAATTTGACTTTTCTAGCATCTCATCAGTTAGTTTGCAAATTTTGGTGCTATTTCAGCAATTTGAGGGTTCATTTCATATTCATGTTTGCCAGATATACTATTAATCCTAACACCCACCTCAATCCTATTCATTTCATATAGAGCCTACTCTTAAAGGTTTGATTCCCCGATCTCTAATTCAAACTATTCAA